TATAAAAGTATGCAACATGTGACTTACCCCATGTGTTAGTGATGATTATGTGCAGATATCATACTGGTCATTTAAATGACAACTTAGAGGGTACATGTACTATTAGTAAGTTACATAGTCTTTTAGTGACAGGGTATGGTATGATACCTGGTTAGTAAATTTTATACCTGGTGAGGTAAAGCCGTGTCATGTATGAAATGTCACTAAAAAACTATGTAACATAACCTCACCAATGAAACATTTACATATTATCTGTGGTTTATATTTTTTTTTTCTCTGCTACATGCTTCATCACCCTTAAACTGTGCCTGTTATGATGTCACATTGTGTTTGTTACATAATACATTGACTGTATATTGATTTACAATTGAATGGAATAAGTAATCCATCTCCTTCACGCAACAGACTTCAGCCAATCATAAGATAGAATTTCTTCGAAAAATCTACGGAGATGGGATTAAAATATTTATACCCCCCGCTTGAAAAGCGGGAGGGTATATAGTAATCGGTAATTCCGTCCGTCTGTACGTCTTTCCGTCCGTCCGTCTGTCCGTCCGTCCTTCCGTCTGTCCGTCCGTCCGTCTGTTACGCTTTGGGGTACCCATCTCTTATCCGCAACTCCTCTCATACCACTGAATGAAATTTGATGAAACTTTCACAGAATCTTTATTACATATTGCCATTGTGCACCTCCTATTTTACTTTTTGATCCGACACATATTTTTGGTTTCCCGGCCACAGGAAAACATGGACTTTTTCACCAGTTATAACCATATGGGAGGCGGGGGGTATCATTTAGTGAGCTCATCGCTCACAGTACCTCTAGTTTATGAGGTAATTATTACAAACAAGAACATTTCTGGGAGAATATATCCTTTTTAAAATTAATTAATAAACATTTTTTAAAACCTTTAGGTTGTATTCATAATAAAAAAAATAGCTTCAGAACTCAGTGGCGGATCCAGAGGGGGGGGGGGGTTACAAAAAAGAAAGAGAAATAAGAAAGTTCCAATTTGTTTGTTGTGTTTTTACTACAGAAAATGTCAGGTGAAAGGCTAATGTTGTAATATATAACACATGTATAAAGAAATTGGGTTGTTAAACATGTTAAAACAAAATAAAACCCCATCCCTTTACAAAATAGTATTTTCAGGTTCGGAGATTTATTTTCCTTTCTTTTTCAAAAACTTTCTGGTAATGTATACAAGTACTTTTTCCCAGATTGATCAACGTCCCACTTTCAAAAATCATACTCCACACTGTATCGATATTCTATTGATTTAAATTAACAACTATATGTATGTGTACAACATAGGTTTTAACTGTTTTCGCCTTCAACCCCTCATTTTGGAAAAAAAACCTCAACCCCCCTTTGAAAAATTTCTGGATCCAACCTCACCCCCCCCCTTTTGAAAACTTTCTGGATCCGCGCCTGGAACTGTAGCTGTCTGAAACAAATATACTGGGTGACACTGACAGGTCTGAGAGCTACAGCGCTACCAGTTGAAAAAAAGTTTATATTTATTGTGCACAAATATTGATTTATTTCACAGTGGCCGTTTTTAAACTGCAATCTCAAAATGTTACTATTGATACACTGCTATTTTGGTCCAACAGACTAACACGCTGCAGCTATCTGTATGTGCATTGTACAGATATTAAATATCGGAGAAGTAATTGACAGAAATGAAATCTAGCTTTTGTACAATTGAGAAAAGAATTTAGAGAATTTAATCCACAATCAAGCATAAGTTTTTGTGCTCTAGCTCTGTCATCCATACCTATTCTTTAATTAAGACCTGAGTGTGCTACAGATGATGATGTGTACCCAATTAAATTAAAATTTAATTGAGAAATTTTGTCCCTCTTTCAGCATAACTTCTGTGGTGCATCATTTTACAGTGTTTTAATCATTGCACATATCCCAACAATATCTATGGGGTGAAACAGCTGATCATAAGCTTTTTTCTGTTGTACAATGTAACAATGAGCTTAACGTACTGATTGTACTGAACCTGATAAATTGAGTAAAATAGCATAATACTATTCTATTCTTAATAAGAAGACAAGAAAGTCTATATCTATGACCTACATGAGACATGACATTAAAATTCGATGAAAAAGGAACTTACCAATCCTGCGTGCGAAGTGTTTTCTTTTTCACAATCCGAAGTGAAAACGAAAGTCTCAATGCGCATGCGCGAATGGGGAGCAGGGAGCTGCCGAAAGTTGAATCTAAAGTATTGTTGCATATGCTGAAAGCACCCTAAAAATTCAATGTGAAAGTGGTACATGTACACCTGTACACACTGGTACATAGATACTAAAAACAACTATCCATTATTATGACAACTTTGATTTTACTTTGAAGTTACGAGCGATTGTCAAAAGCATCAAAGTTCAAAAGCAATGCAAAATTGGCTGAACGATACGAAACACGCACACTGAAACATAAAGATCTAGTACATGTGTACATTTAGTTTTCTTTTGAACGTGAACTAGGCCCTATTGCGTTTTAAACTTAAACTTTTCAGTCAATATACACGTATTCTCACCTGCTAATACCAAAGGCATATCCGTATTATTTGATTCATTGATGTGATGATCTTCGTCGTGAAATAATCATGAAAATTGACGTTCAGATTTCGGATCACCATCATGTTTACACCAAAGCGGAAACACGTGTTTATTTCAATTCGTATCAACTCATACAGTATTGAGTCGTTATAAATGCGAGTTTTTATATTGTTAAATATAGATCTAATTAAATTGCAAATTAATAAGTATACAGTATAACAAGATACAACAATATTAAAAATCTGATTGATTTTTTTTTTTGGTAAAGATCGACATTTTGGAAATCTACAATTTTTATCAATATTGTAGGCTATATCACTTCATGAAATATACATCATTACATGTAGATGAATAAATCAACATTCACTTCACAAAAGGCAGAACGAAAGTATATATTTGTTTTTTGAAATCTATTTTTTTTTTTGTATTATGCATTTATTTCAGTAAAAAATATATTTGAATGGTCAAAAAATTCTTATAAAAGAATTTGTTGTTTCGAGTAAGACGCAACAATATCGACCTTGACGTTACATGTAAATATTGACCGATTTTTCCATAAAAACTATGCAAAGTTCACAAATTAAAATTATCGTAATTAAGAAAATACTGAGTGTAAGAAGGCATATGAGGGCTTGTTGGAAAGGAAATTTTCTCTACTATTACCAGCTTTATTTTGTTTTTCCTATTTCAACACAGAAATAAACGTAAAACTGAGCTTTGTTTAAATATTGCGAATAAAATCGATAAAAAACATATAAGTGCAAAAAAATTCTTGTTTTTAAAATATATATTAAAGTAATAACAATAATTTTTACATATTTTAAAAGTAGAGAAAATATTCTTTAAGAATATACCATGCTTTCTTATAAAGTTAATCAGTTAAAGTCAATCGTCTGGAAATTCGGCAATCGCTTTGGAAAATTACGCCATTTTCAAAAAGTCTCGTTTGTCTTTACAACGTAAAATCGATTAAATACCGGCGATCAAGATATAATCTTTTTAGATATTTTAAAAGTAGAGAAAATTTCCAAAAAGATGATATATAGGTTATATACCTTCATGCTACCACAAAATAGATACGGAGATCTTATTTTCGCGAAGTCGTGTTTTAACGCGCCATCGGTCAATTTGACCGGTACGGAAGTGAAGGGGTTAATGAACTTTTCTTTTCATTTTTACCCGATATTTGCTCAAAAAGACATTTCCTCGTGTACAAAAATGCATTATGTAAAAAGCTTTACTAACCAGCATATTTGAGGATATTTTCTACTCTGAAGAGCAAGAGATGATGGCTCAACCATATTTTCTCTCAATATACATTGCAAAGTTCATAACAACTAAAACATAAGGTCGAAATCAATTACTACGTAATATCTTGGTACTTCAAAAAAGTCGCAGAAAATTGTACAGCAATATTTTGTAGGGAAACTGTACCATACCCGTGCAATAGAGTCTTTAAAGAATGCAATGTACATTGAGTAATAAAAAAAATTCGTAGACTAGACTAGCACCATAAAATTTAAACTGCTCAAGGCACAGCACTTAATTTGTTAGCATTTAGTCGGCATCAATTTTCTAGAAATATAATAATATATGAATCAGGAGTTTAAAAAATAAATAAATAAATTGTTGATGTATTTGTTAGCAAAGTATGTTCAGATTGTACATCCTCGAATATGACGTTTTATACATGAGTAAATAAATAAAAATAAACCTTTATTTAGAAATGAACATTTTGTCATCCGCAAATCCCGGTATTTCATACACAATTAATGCATGACACAACTGTTCCGTGAAGTGTTCAATTTCTTCCCGATTCTGTAGGTTTTTTTAAATTAACGAAAAAAGGGGTCATACTAGCATCGAAAGGGTTGTTGTTTTTGTTTCCAACAGTCTATAAAGTTCACACCTTGAAAAATTATTATTTACATATGAAATGCATCCCGAGTACTTGTTTTCTAATACTGAAAGAAATCGGACAGATGTAAGATGCCCACTTCATGACTTCATGTCGAATTGCAGTCAGGGTGTTCAATGTTTGAGATTCATTGAGATCATTAATTAATGTCATTGTAAAATCATATAAACAGGACGGATGTACATTTAAGTCTTTAATTAATCCAAGAAAATTTCATCAAAATAATGTATGTGATGGATTGAGCAGGCATTGAGAAACAATGATGTTGTCGAACGTAATGAATCTAAACGGCGACGGCGCCGGGTGATCATATAATGTCTTTTTTATCTAATGATAGTTTGGCAATTTATCAACGTATCAAGATATTTTTTTAACTTCTTCAACTTTTGTTGTTTTATGTTCCTTAAAGATTTTGAAAGCACAGACAACATCGTATAAAGTTTTATAACCCCTGATACAGGATTAATTATAATTATTTATCGTAATGCCTTACCTCATATTCCAGTTTTTCTACTTCGTGTGATATGTATTCTGCAAACAAAAGTAGCCTGTGCAAGGTAATGATGATTTCTTTTATGTCACGATTTCCTCACGCTCAAAATAATGTCATATTTATTCTCTTTTGTTCGAAATTTATAATTTTAAACGAAATTTTTCCGAGAAATCTTACTTGTTATGTTTTTGATTTCAAGGACAGTCTGCTTTCTGGACGTACTATCTTTTTATAACTCATCGGAAGCCTGTCAATTCTATGAAAATTCTTTTAAAACTATTTTTACAGGTATTTGTTTTTAAACATAATTGTCCATAACCGTTATTTTTAATGTTTTTCCTTCTTCACTGATCAAGATCTGCCAAAGTTAAATAAATGCATAATATCAAGTAAATTCCGCTAAAATGATAAATGGTATTTAAAAAAAATTCTCAGATAACAAACTAAGGAAATTGATACATGTCAATATGTCATATAAAGAAGATGAAAGGCAGATTTTATTTTTTTTTATTTACAGAGAACAAGGACCTGTGTAACATTATTTGTTCCTTGACTTCCGAGCCTTCTTATAATGGAATAGATTCTGATGAACTGTATGAAATTGAGGAAATGAAAGTAATTTTCTCCCCAACATTTAAATTCACAATGTTCAAGCCATGTCGTTACTATTACAATACTGATGCATACATTACAATTAATTGTGAAGAGAAGAAATTTAATGGTAAGTGAATATTTAAGATTTATTCCCCTCTCCATAGCATTTTATTAAAAAAAATACGTATATGCCTGTACAATTTATATAGACACGTATTCCTTTCAAACACATATGGAATTGTTCTACAGTATTTATTATACATGTAAGCACTAAGTGATATTATTTCCTATAAATAATTCAGAATATAGAAAAATGATAAGAACGAGTACGTTTATAAAAATAAGAAATATGTACCTGTTAACAGAGTGCCGGTTATGTTTTGTGGTTATTACACTGGCTATATACTGTAATAAATGATAGCAATCACTATCTACCCTTCTACGTGTTTTCAAAAGTTTATTGATTTTAAATGATAAAAAAAGTATATCTAAAGTATAAAATTTGAAGTATATTTTATTTATATAAAGATAAAGTATATCAGCATCAAGTAGACACTTCACAATATAATCAAAATTATAATTGTCATATAATTCTAATATCTTTTAAATTCTTTTTATAACTCAAGTGCAATAATAAGAAAATTTTATATTTCAAAGAAAGAAGAATTGGGGAATTTTGTTCTGACTCATCACAGTGTAAACAAGGCACCCCTTATTCGTCCTGTAATGCAACAAGTGGAGTCTGTGAATGTGAAGAAGGCTACATACTGATGTACAATATGTGTTTTCAGGGTAATCTGACTGGATTGTTTCGTATATCTAAATTAGAACATAAATTTACTTATATCTTAAAATATAAAAAAAAAACTAAAATGAAGTACGCTTTAATCTAATTTTGTGAACCACGTTTATACTTTAACATTTAACAAGTTGCTACTCTTGTTTATTATTTATTTCTCACAGGTAACCTTTTGTTGGAAGATGCTTGTGATATAAATGAGCAGTGCAATGGAGCTTCCGAGGATTTATTTTGTTTACATAACGGATCTAGGAAAATATGTTCACGTACAATGGTGCCAGAAGTTAGTACCTCTAGCGAAAACGGTAAATCTCTTAGCGAAATATCCAATTTGAATCTTTATTTTAGTACTTTGAACGTGGTTGTTGATGAAGAATAGTAACAATGCTTAAGAGTCAAATTGAACAATATATAAACAAAAAATGAATCAGATGCCATGGAAGTGTGAGCATAAGTTACATATAGCGGAAACCATAAGTTTATGCCGTTGACCATTGTTAACGTTTTCTGCACCTTGTAATTGAATATTAACCCTTTATTCTAATTAACAACAAACATTGCTACATGTATCCTTCAGAATTGTCAGTCTGATTACTTTAAAGCATGTCACGCGAGGTGAGTTAATTCCTGATGTATCCCTCAAGCGCAGGGTATTTAACAACTGTGTTGTCGGCTTCTGAAATTCTGTGCTTTAAGCAAAATAACTATTACATGTATTAGTAATAATACAATTATATATTACTGCTGCGTATACGGGATAGGTAAACAATACTTTCTATTGATGACGTCAGCAAATGTGTGTTGACATAATTTGAAAGTATGGCATCAGAGCAGAGTAGAAGAACACAAAAGGTTTCATTACTATTGTCTACTTTACCGAATTGATAATCTAGATTCTTCGTGATAATAAAACAAATTATCAGGTCTAAGTAGGGTTATCACCCTCGGGCGCAACCGCTCCCGGTTTACGACACTACTAAGACCTATTAATTGGGAATGTCTCCCTCCTAAACAGGTTATAATTATATATTATTTTCAATAACACTTATTTAATTTTTAGAGAAAAACAATGAGGATATAAGCTTATTATTTGGTTTTGGAATGGGAGGAATTACATTTGGTGTTCTTGTATGTGGATTTCTATACATTTATCTTATTTGGTGTAAGAAAAAAACAGACTATAACAGGTACTTTACTTGAATAAGTATAAGTTGAATTGAAAGTAGATCAAATAAATACAATAAAATAGCATGGTGCCTTTCTGATAAGGTTTCAAGTGAAGTATTCTTATAAAATTATTTCAGAGCTTTTACTATTAGATATATGTTTTATTGTATTGATCATTTAGACAGGTAAATGAGGACTCTAAATCTAATAATTTTAATATGCAAAAGAAAAATGCTGGTAAAAACACTGGAGAAACAGGCCTAGGAAAACACACGTTAAAGGTGAGTACCCGGTATACAATTCAAATTATTGCTTTCAATTGTGAAAGATACTGAACACCTCTATATATGATTAAAGTTTTTTTTATGAAAAAATGTATCTAATATCTGATATAGGTATCAGGTGAAATATCCTTTAATAACCCATCCTGCGACCAGGACAATGTTATTCAAAGCGACATTTACAACCATCTCAATGAAGACAATTGTGTGCCAGATATTGCTTCAGACTACGACCATGCATGCTTTGATAATCAGGAAAGAGATACGTACAATCAGCTGGGATCATACAACACAAAGAATATTATAGTTACGTCTGAATATGCGGAAAGTAATTAATTTTCTCAAAATACATAGTAATAACAACATCGAGAAACTTCAAATAATTTTTAGAAAATATATTTTAATCATTTGAATGGATTTTTTTTTCATATTACTCATATCCCCAAATAAAACAACAACAAATGCCCCGCAATTTATATCATGCCTGGCAGATCTGTGAGTAGCATCGTGAAGGAGCTTAAAAAGAAGATCTTGAAGCAATTAATAAGACATTTCTTTATAAAGTATCTTGATAATTTGTTTTATACTAGTCGAAAATGAACAGATGCCTTTAGTAGATGACAGTGCACATTACACACCCCGCACGTGACATTCACAAGATCTTCACGTTTTACTCAAAACGCTTTATACGAAAAACTGCACAAATAAAAGGAACACTTTTGTCTATTTTTCAAATCTCTGTTTGGATTCCCATACCATTATTTAAATTGCTATAATCTTATCAAAACAATTAAGAAGTGCTAAATTTCATAAAATATGTACGCAGTACACAAGTACTATAAAACCTGAGATAGATATTCAGTGTCCAGTAGTTACACTGTATTATTCATTATTGCAATTCTGCTTATAACCAGCTTTCCTCAAATGTCAAACGCTTTGTTTTATCTGTAAGCATAAATACTCTGAAAGACATTTGTAGCAGAGAATGTTTGACCAATTATGATTTGATATTTTATAACATGTACTGAGATTCATGTATGTACTAGTATTCAGTTACTGATTTGAAATGACAAAATTGAAATAACATATTATGTTAATAAAATTGTTCTAATATTTTTCATGTTATGTAAAAAATTGTTTTTCGAGTAATTAAGGTCATGTTCATAATTTCCTCACATACCTTTCTTCTCTATTGTTGAGATGAGTGGTGGTTGTGCATAACATTACTGTGGCTTTCCTGGTATACTAAGTATCTCAAATTTTATAGAATAAAGCAACAGCGCAAAACTGCACTTAACATAACTCTAAGAATAAAAGCTAAAAGTGTTTTAAATGTCAGAATTTATATTAAAGCATATATCGATCAATGTTTGAGATTTTCGAGGGGCTGTCGCTGTAATTTTGGTCTCTTACCTTACTGTACCAGTTTGGCTAACTACGATTTTATAAAAGCAAATGGTGTATGCATTTACAATTTCATTGAACCTTAAAGTACAGGGTATTGATTTATACTTTCAAGAATATGTTTCCGTTTGGTCAGATCACTTTTCAATCATTCTTATTTTCAAATTAACAAGAAATAAAAAAAACAGCTTAATCCAAGCCTGAAATACAGAAAAACTGCACGTCAACCGAGTCTTCGACATCATCTCAGTCAGTACAACAAGATCATGCTGGATTACATTCTACATTCGAATACAGTGTGGTGGTAGAGGATATTTTTTGTTTTGGGAATCAAAAGTTTTACTGACGATTTTTCTTAATATTTAGCTGCATTTAAAATGTGCAATGGAAAAAAAAATTAAATTCTCTCTAATGTAATAAAAGTATGGTCTAAAACTTAGTACCTTAAGGATTTCGAAACTCTTAGGAATAAAACATGTACAGCTTACACAATCAGCCCTAATAATGGCACAGGGACAATCTAAAAAAATCATATTAATCAAGCCTATTTGCACTTTTTCACCAGATCTGCAACGGTTTCCAGGCCCGTGTAAATGAACTAAACTAGAGAGTGATTTTTTTTATATTGGGTAGTTTCGTATTTATAGGCCATATCCCATAAACAGCATTAGTGACACAAGTGTCTAAATGCACACATGAAAAAGTCCATCCATTCAATTACCTACAATATACGAGGGTTGTCCCATAAAATCGTGGACAAGTTATCTAGTGTAAAAAATAAACATCACTGCGTTCTGAAATTTTCACTATTATTTAGTATATATTTTAGTAATATACACAGCAAATTAAAGATAAATATATGCAGAAAAAACAAATTATGTGATTTTATGCCATGTATTGTATCACCTTACGGCGCATGGATTATAACGTCAAAGTTTTAAAACAGTGTCACGTTTTATCTTTGCTGAAAATGAAGTTGGATGAGTCCGACTTAAATTTAGGAATTTCATTGATACACATTCTTTTGTCTCCATAAACAGTCGAGGAACCAGTTGGCACCCACATGCGATCTTCTGAAAAAAAAGTTAAATTCTCTCATTCAATTAATAGAAAATCAAATATCGGCGGTCTACTGTGACAGCGTCTTTTGCCATTACATTAGGAAATGTCCGTATGTTTTGTACTCCCAAGGGACTCGATCAAAAAGACTTCGCTTAAATAACTCTTATTTCTTTCTATACTTAAGATGGTGATATTTTTATAAGCTTTTTGCTTCTATGATTATTTCAAGTCTGTAAAGGTGTCATTACAACATCGAATTAAAACGGAACTGCTCTCCGGTGCGCCGTAACGTCATAAAACGTTGCCATTTTTCGTGTTTTGTGTTTACCACTTTCCCATTTCGAATGCTTGAGAAACTGCCAAAAATTAACCAAATTCCTTGAAATTTTTACAAAGACTACAAAATTGATTGTGAAATTGAATAAAGATAATTTTAATCCAAATCTTATGTATTTAAACTTTTATTTTGAATTCAAATTTGTGTATTCTTTAATAAAACCTTGAATTTTTGTCCGTGCGCCGTAGGACAATATCCCGTGCACATTCAAGCATAATAAAATCTTTATTTTTGCCTATATTTCATCCAAAAAATTACCATGCACTTTAATATGATTATTAAACATTTACTAAAATTTTCAGCTTAGTGCGCTTAATACTTTTCGAGAAAAAACGCTTTGTCCACGATTTTACGGGACAACACTCGTACTTTGACCGGTACGTAATCCTAATCCGTCCTTCGCCACCTGTAGTGTTCTTGTGGCAAGATTAGTTAAACATCGATTCAACTCTACTTTATTTAAAGAATCTTTGTGTTTATTAAAAGTAACATGAACAGTTTATTATCGAGATTTATCAGCTCTTTTTTATAATGACGTTTTGAATGTTTTTCCAATATTCTGCTTAAGAACTGATACAAACATTTTTTTTCTGTGGTGGAGACTCAAAATCATCTCACAGTTTAAGAAAAGTTGAAAATTCTTTGAATTTTTTTCTCCTTAGATTTTGAAAATGATATAGTCTTGAAAAATATAAGTTAATATATTCTTTTTAAAAAATTACAGATATAGACAAATTTTACTAAATTTACACTCAATAGAGATTTATAGGTGAAAAAAAATCAGAATATGTTAGCTAAAAGTGAAATAAAGTCAGATGAAATTTATGAGAAAAAGCAAACTAATCAAAATCAGCCAATGTTTATTTTTTTAATTTTCACCATTTATGCTTCCTTGTAAATTTTTCCTGACTCTTGTAAATTTTATGTAACACTTTTGCTAAACTAGTGAGATGAATATATGTTATGTTTCCTCCACGCAGGTATGTTAAAGAAGCATATAAATCATTTCTCGGGAAATATAGGCTTTTAAAAGAAAATTAAAAGATTGATAATCTACCAAATTATCTGATAAACGTAAACTATTATTACTTATTGCATGAAGATAAAAGAGTGTATAACGCAATGACGTACACCACCACCGGTGGCATCACGTGACTTCTATAAATAGCGAAATGTCCCTTAATAAAAAAGCTAACAGAACAACAATTTACCGAAGTTTAATAATTTCTTTGAGTGAATAATATAGTTGTAAAACATATATTTTGCCTTAAAAGTGCTGGTAGATTCCCACTGTCATGTCAGTTAAATAATTTTTCCACACATTGGACGAAACCTTTTAAATTTTTTTAAGTCAATGGATCACTTGATTGATCCCCGTCCACATTAACAAAGTAAGAAATACATTGTACACTAAATAAATATATATTATTATAACAGTAACTTGATCCGAACGGTCGTATCACGTCGAGTTGTCAGGCGCGGATCATCAGATCTAACGAGACTCGAAGCGTCAAGTTTGATCTAATGATCCGCGGCTGTCAACGAGACGTGATACGGCTCTTCGGATCAAGTTACTGTTATAATGATAAATTTATTATATACCCCCTTATAACTAGCTAAATATACAGAATAAAACTTTAGAGATCAATTGTATAATATTTATCCATAAAACAAAGCATAATAACAAGGGACTTTTTAACGCGCAAGAAACATAACGTCATGTTTTTGCGTACTACGTCATCAGTTTCAGAGAGTGGTGATATGGATTCAGAAAACCACAGTGTGGTGATCCGGAAAATCGGATCAAACTCTGTAAAATTAACAGTAACAAAAACAAGGAAATTGATGGGTATATACATGTAATAAACGTGAATATTATACATTGTATTACTATTTACACTAAGAGTTTGAAACCAGGACATAAGAATCAATGGTTATTAATCATTATGTGCTCTGCGTAACATTGTAATGCTTAATTAAAGTGTTTGTATTAAATTTACAAGGAATCGTGTTTAGACTGATACAAAAAATCGTGTTCTATACTAAGGATGCACGACTCTTGTAATGTAAATAGGTCTGGTTCGTTACATAGGAGTTGTTCTTCTTCTCTTATCCGGTCTTCCTTGACTTGTTTGCATTTAATTTCAAGGTCTCCATCCATTCAATGCACTCAGAAATACAATACACAGCGATGCATCAGTTGATAAGATAAAAAAAGTATGGGAAGTTTTAATGTGTCGGGAAATTGAGAGCCCTGATTGAATTACTAGCTCTTATGCCTAGCTAGGTCACATTTAAGCCGATGGTCGGGTGACTAAATTTTTCTGGTCTTGTCGGCTGAAAGAATATGATCGGCCGATACAGTATCGGGCGAAACTGAGCAGTCACATTAATTCCTAAGGACACCGATGACTTGGATAAATAACACAAAAAAATCTTTTTTCTTTAAAATTCAGCAATATTTTTTTAAAGATCTATATTCAGATAGGTGACGTGAGTAATGTTTGCAAAGCAAAGTGACAGAATCTTAAAAAAATTGTGACTCAATTTTGAAAATGTGTGCAAAATCTTGTATAAAATTGCATTTAAACGACAGATGGTGCATATCTAAGCAGCAAAGAATACTTAAGATTTCTTTATATCTTACGGATTAATTATTCATTTTATTTCCGTTCAAAAAAATTATATCAATCCATGCATCAAAATTTTGTTTGTTTATGTATCCTTACTAGTTTAAATATTCACAAGTCGCCCAATCGATCGTCGTCCGATCATCGAGCTCTAAGCTACAGTTTGATTTTAAGCGTCGGCCGAAATTTTAAACACCCTTATTGTCCAACGACGGACGACCGACTTAATAAACTGACCACCGATGGTCAGATGATGATCGAAGGTTGGTCGACGGATAATTTCACTTAAAGGAATCGGCCACCGACGCATAAAAAATTATAACTTGGACCGATAGACACAAAAATGGTCGGCCGACAAAAAAGAGGTCAAA